TATAAGTCAGCCATATCAGTCAACTTAAAGTCGACTTTATGACAACTATAAGTCGACATATTTTGCTTGATTATGGCGACGAGGTTGACTTTTGGTCGACAATAAGTCGACTTTCAGATTATTTAATATAGGTTATAGTGATTACGTCGACTTTTAGTCGACAGTAAATAAACATTCTTTACAAAGCTTTATTTATATTTATTTTCGTCTATTTAATATATATTTATTAACTATTAACATTAGAAATATAAACTTTTAAATAAAATTTATAATATAAAAAACATATTTTTATATATAAAAAAATCTATTTCTATAGTATTCGTAATCTGTCACCAGATCGCAACCACTCTTGCATACATCCCTCTACTTCAGTTACCATGGTATTTGAATCTTTTTTTAAAACAATGGCTACAAACGAAGTAATAAAATAATCGATATAAATATAACTGCATTTCGATATACGTATCCTGAACTATAATTAAATATTTAAATATAGTTCAGGACACGTATATTATAGATTTTCAATACTGGCAATGAATATCAAAATTCAGCTTATATACAAATATTTTTATTATTATATAAGTGTGATTTGGAATAATCACATAATCAGATATGTTTTGATTTAAATTTGAGACAAATTTCGATATGAAAATTTTGTACGATTATTTTTTTAATTATTATTTTAACATTAACTAATTATGGCACGAGTCCAGCAAATAGATACAAGCGATGCAACCTAATCAGATCGAATACGGGATTACAAAGAACGATTGATCTTTTTTTCTTGTGGAGGAAATTTTTAAGAAGCATAAATCTCTTCAAGCACATCTCGGCCAAGGAAGTATCATAATTTATGAAAGGAATTTGAAAAAGTCTATGTAAACATAATTATTTAAAAAAAAAACTACGTTTCTTCAGATTATGTTTTTGACAGAAACAGAACAAAGACATAGACAATGACAATGACAGATAGAAGTAAAATGAGTGAGCGAATAAACGAGTAATCCAGTGAGCAAATGAATGATTGAGCGAATAAGCGAGTGACAAAATAAACGAGTATGAAAATGAGCGAATGAGCAAGTTAGAATATCTCTGTTTATCTTCTAGACGTGTCGTAATTTATTAACGTAATCCATTAATAATTAAAAAAAGTAATCGTACAAAATTGATATACCAATTATTGTATCGGCTAATTTTGATTTTCTGAATGCTGATTTATTCTTCTTTTGTCCCGTCCATGAGTATGCCTGTGCAAGTTCATATCCAAAAATTTGAAACATTATATTCCTTACAAGTTTTGGTACAGTTTCTCCACCCAATTGTGACATTTTTACCATCTATAACTATAAATGTATATTTAAATGTTTTAAATGTATATGTGCGCATTTATTATTCATTATTATTTATTGCATAATTTGCTTAATTTATATATTTTTTAAATAATCTTGATACTTTTAATTATTTTTAATAAATTTTCACTATATGATTATTATATTAATAAAAACATAAATTTAATTACATTTTTATGATAATTACATTCATTTATTTAAGAATAGATATGTTCCTAATTAAAATTTTTGCTAAAACTGAC